TTTTTTTTTTCTAATTTTTCCTTCAAATTAAACAAAAGCTGAAGCACTCCCTTTGATCAAAACTAGGGATGCAGATTACAAAATAAAATGTGACTTCATTAATTCATAGTGTTCTAGCTCAGAATCTGGGACAATTTCACAAGTGCTAAATTTGGTTTTATACCATATCTGAGGAGATGATTTATGAGACAATTAAATGGGAACAAGTTGCCAAGACCATATTTAAATCACGTGAGGAGAAAAAGTTTTTAAGCACCTAAGTCATACTCATTCTATGATATTGTCAATAATAAATGCTTGTTTGTACTAATATTTCAGTATTTGTATTTATGTCAAAATGTTTAGAACTATTCAAGCAAATCTGTTTAAGAAATGAACATTAATTTCAACAATATATAGATAGAAAATGGCCCTTGAAATGAAGTACATAATTTTATTATAAACAGAAACATATATTAATATACATAGAAGGTAGTAGATTTTCCTAGCTGCTGGCCCTCTGGAGGGGGCACATTTATTCATTTGATATTTCTGCGACGACTTCTTTTCTTCCAGCTACTGTTCCAGGCACTGATGTACAGAGCAGACAGACAAACTCTCTGCTGTCCTGTGGAGTTTATGTTCTAATGACGGAACAATTAAAAAATAACATATGCAGAATATATTAATTGAACCAAGAAGGATTTAAAAATTATAAATTCCTGGTCTATCTGATGCTTCCCATTTCTCACAATTTCAGGGAAGACATTATTAGCCTGGCATGACATTTTGTGCCTGCTGAGCTGAGCCTGGCATGCCCTCACAATTTTTCTTAATGCAGGACTATAAGCAAAGGTGTTGGAGATATTCAAGCCCCCAAATACTGCAGGAGCAGTGTGTGTATGTGTAACCTATGTGCTACTGTTGGGGGAGGGGAGAGCATTCATAATTTCATCAAATTTTCAAAGTAGTCCCTGACCTCAAAAAAAAAATAGAAATTATTTAGACATCATTTTAATGATATAACTATGAACTTTCAGTAAGTTCAAGGGAAACTGATAGGGTCTCCTAAAATATTTTAGCATCACGTTCAGGGCAGTGGTCTACCCCAAATGACCCCTTCTTGTGTTCTGTTGCAGGTCATTGTTCACCTGTGTTATCAGATGGGAAAACTGAAGAGGTTCCTTTAAGAGAGTTAAAATGGCAGACACTCCACTTCCAGTCCATGCTGATGACGGTGGGTTATATACTGAGACTCCCTCTTCCACGTCTAATGTACTGGTACAAGAAGGGGCCTGTCATGGTAACAGCCCGTAAACACTGCAATGCCTAATGAAATCAACAGATCTTGGAAACCTGCTTTAGAGTTTTTAGAGAAATCATTAAAACTTTTAAAGTATTTTCCAGCCATTGCAAGGATACAGCTAAAAGGTAAATTCTTGGCAACTCTTCCATGGGGTAAGGCCTTTGCCATGAACCTGACCTTTTTGGGGCACAGATATTTTGTAGAGGCTACAATACACTAAGAAGGCGTTCTGCCCTAAGGCTGTTCATTCTGAAAAGAGTCCATGCAGCATCCACAGGAGCCCTGCTGAGGGAAGAGCTGAGCCTCAGGCAGGCGTCCCAGTGCCAACTCCTCCTGTCAATGTGGCCTTGGGCTAAATGGTTTTATTTCTCTGAGCCTTAATTTTTTCATCTATCAAAAAGGGATGATACTGATCTTCAAAATTGCTGGAAGGGTTGGAAAAGATGTGTGATATCTAGCAGTTTTTACTTCACAGTACATGCTTAATAAAAGACCCGGGCAAAAAAAAAGCATTATTGCCATCATTATCATTTTGATCCTTTGGCTGTTAAGCAAATATTAGAATAACTGAATCTAACTGCTCATGACCACTCCACGTCAATCTCAAATATTACCTCCTCCTTCTTTGAAGCTTTGCATCCACGATTCAGAGCAAATGAATTATTTTTTTCCCTAGATTTCTAGAATGTACAATTTTATAATATGCAATATATATGACATATTGAACTACACTGTGTGTTGTGTGTTTTTCTGAAGTTCTAAAGTGTGTAATTATGCAGTATACTTTAGAACTCTAGTAAGCACTGTTTTGTATTGTTAAGCAATTATTTTGTGAATATTGAACTTATATTTCCAGCTAAATATAAAATGCTTGAAGGAGTGTCTCTTCAGGTCCTTGCCATTGATTGATTGGGTTATTTGATTTTTTTTTTTGTGATTAGCTTTTGAGTTCTTTATATACCATAGTGATTAGTGCTCTATCTGATGTGTAAGGGGTAAAAAACTCAATAGATGAATTGATTAAAAAATGTGGCATATATACACAATGGAATTTTACTCAGCAATAAAATAGAATAAAATCATGGCATTTGCAGGTAAATGGATGGAGTTAGAGAAGATAATTAATGCTAAGTGAAGTTAGCCAATCCCAAAAAACCAAATGCC